GCCCGTCCGACATGCCCCCTACTTCATTTCTTAGGGGAACAGAGGGAGTTTTTGTTTTGACGTTTTCGTTGCTTTTTCCATTAGCAGTCGACTCGCCATCTACAGCTTCATTATTGACCGCTTTTACCCTCAAATTCATCTGCACTTTCCTGCTTCCAGCAGTTTCTCCTGAACAATAGTCGTTATTTCAATCCAAATAAAGTTTACATCAGATTACAAACATTTTTGCAAGAGATGCCTCAAAACTATAAATTCACCTTGAGCGATGGACTTCAATAGTGGAACTCCTTTCTTCTCTTGGTTTAGTGAACCAACTCCTTGATCTGCTTGAACGATTTGGGCTTTGTACGGAGCAACAGCAGCCAGATGGAGCGTCAACATCTCAGTAGCGCACCTGAAGTGTCCACAATATTTCCTTGACTGCCGCCAGCATCGATCTGCCCACATGATTCCCTGATGTTTACTGTAGTATTTAGATCCAAATCGCGTGCAGGCCAATCCCAAACATTGACTTCCTGTTGTTGTGTTCCCCAACTTGAAGCCAAGAAGCAAATGTGCTTTTATAGCAACATCCTTAGCCCCACACAGCAATCTATTCCGAGCTCTCTGCACAGCACCCTCTCCAAATTTCAGCTTAAAGAAGTGAACCTGCTCAAACCACTGCTTTGACGCCTTTGATTCAAGCCTTTAAAAAACGACGAGGCCGAGTCCTTTCGAATAAAAACAGCGTGCAGAAAGAGCAATGAAAGACTTTTCGCAACGATGTCCAACTGTACAGCAATCGTGTGAAATTTCTCGAAAAATGTCTGATAAAGTATGACACATTGAAACCCGCATTAATTTCTGGACAACCCAATAGGAGTCGCAGCAGTATCACTCAGGCCATCGTGAAATCATACAGGGTGGGGCAAAATTACTGGTGCACTAAATTTTCAATGGCATTTTGACAATAATTCTCACAAATCAATTCTAATTATCAATATTATTTACTACAAACATGACAATACAAAAAATGTTAATGCTTCTCAAAATGATCTCCTTTAGCCTTCACACAGTCCTTCAGACGTTCGACAAATGCTTCGCATGTGGCACGCAGGTACTGGTCATCGATTTCGTCCCAAGATTTTGAAAGCGCCGCCTTAAGAGAGTCCAAGTTTGGATGTCTGGTAGAACACGCTTTGCTCTCCAAGATGGACCACACAGAGTAATCCATCGGGTTTAGATCAGGAGAACTGGAGGGCCATTCGTCGTGTCTGATGAAGTCGGGCAGGTGCTCGGCGCACCACTCCTGGACCATCTTTGCTTTGTGTGCTGGAGCAGAATCCTGCTGGAAGCACCAGTAGGCTTCTCCGAAATGGGAGTTGGCCCACGGCTTGAGAACTTCCTCCAGGATATTTTTGTAAACCTCTGCGTTGATTTTTACACTGCTTCAACGAAAACGTTAAATACACGTTTTGTTGTGTTCCATTTACATGTTGTTGAGCATGTAATAAATTGAAATTGAAAACAAGTAGGGTCTTCCCCGTAGAGGTGACTCCTCCCCAAACAAGAATGGACTGGGGGTGTTTCGCTCTTTCCTGGAGTCTTGCCTTGGTGGTAGCATCAGCAAGTGATCCTGCAATAATCCTCTCATTTTGGGAGTTGAAGGCTGGATTCAGAGTAAAAATCTTTTCATCACTGAAAACGATGTCTCGGGCGCGTGCCACCGTGAATCGCTGCAGCAACTTCTTGCATCTCTCCAATCTCCTTTTCTTCATAATGTCCGTCAGGAGTTGGCATTTCTGCAAGCGATAGGGGAACTTCCTTAGCTTACTTCTGACAATCCTCCTCATTGACCTCGCGCTTACTCCAACGTCTTTCGCCATCTGGCGCATCGATCTCCTGGCGTTCCTTCGAATTCTTTCTCTGACGAGCCTCACATTTCTCCGACTCGTAGCTGTTGTGGGACGTCCTCTTCCTTCCCTGTCCTCTTCGGTCTTCAGTTCTTTATAGCGTCGTACTGTATTCTGAACCGTCCTTCGAGGTACGGAAAGGATCTTCACAATTTCTCTTGTTTGCTTGCCGTCGTTGTGAAGTTTGATGATCGCGCTCCGTAGGTCAGAACGACGGACCATTTTGTATTCGAGTACGTAGGAATTACGCAACCTCCAGGCAACATATCACAAGCGAGTGAAACAGGAAAATCTCCAAGAAGTGTTAAAAAATTCAAAACGTATAGGTGCACCAGTAATTTTGCCCCACCCTGTACATATTGGAGATCAAGTAAGATAATTATGAACAGTCAACACAACAAAACCAAAATGAGGACAGAAGTAAAACAGCATCTTTGAATAGTGGTTCAAATTGTTTGCGCATGCGTTGTCTCCGTAATTTTGGCGCACCCTGTATAATTGATTTTAACTGTGGAACATTCTTTTACACTTTCGGAACAGGGGTATTCTCAATTTCCTAATAAAAAAGTGTGCAGCTTATATTGCGCTCAAGAATGAAGTAAGGTATTGTCTCCTGCCTTCAATAAGAGAAGTGAAAGGTAATCAATCCTTCCCCCTAATTTGGAAGAACTACTTTCAAGGGACCCTTATACTTTTGAAAGGCACTGTACAATTTGATGAGTTCTCTGTGTCTGTGCGATCTTGTAATAGCAGTTTCGCAGATTTTTACAAGCTCTTTCTGCAGAAGAAATAGAAATGAAAGATGTGGAAGCCCCAGTGCTTGAAGCTCTTATCAATTTTTGCTATTTCGGAAAAATAAGGATCAGTAGCACCAATGTGTGGAGTGTTTTGCCCACCGCTTGCCTGCTTCAGCTGAATGAAGTTAAGGTAAGAATTGCCAACATTTGGAAGTCTTTTGCCTCGTTCAAATATTGAACCGTAAGAAATATGAAGATTTCTGTTTTTCTCTTTGCAGGAACAGTGCAGTGAATTTTTGGAGAAACAATTGAATGCTTCGAACTTGCTTGAGAAATTCGAGCTTTTGCCGACACTTATGCGTGTGAAGAGCTTCTACGCTGTGCTTCCGAGTTTATCCTGCACAATTTCAAGGTTATTCCTTTGTCAATTCCACTCAAATTGAGAAAATCATATCCTTTTCATCTCCTCAGGACGTTATTGGCACCGACGAGTTTTATCGGCTCCCTGGTAACCAATTAATTGAACTAATT